TAATTTAAGTTTAATAATGAAATAATTTATTTTTGGTTTAATAATATAACATTTTATAAAGATAATAATTAAACATTCTGTTAGAACTCAATGATTATCCTAATTATATTTTAGATTTTTTATATTTAAACTAAGATGTTTATCCTGTATTTGATTGTGTTTATCTGCAGTTAGTTACACGAATTCAGATATGTGATGAAATCAGATAGGGATGAACGAGTTTAAGAGTTTTTAAGAGTTTAAGAGTTTTTAAGAGTTTTAGCCAAATGCTTTATAATATAGTATAGATATATTATAAATATATATATATATATATATATTACATTAAAATGTTACGAATTTTTTGGTTTTTTTTGTTGTAACATCGGTTTTTGTCCATTAGTGTAAAATAATTTTTAACAACTTGTTATTTTAGATTATTTTTTATCGATAATCGTCAACCAAGCCCTCACTTATCGGATAAAATTATTTGTCAATAAAATGACACAATAAGATTGTCACTAAAACCATCATCTCTGATCGGATAATCGTCTTTACCAATAAGAAGTAATAAATGTAAAGTGTCTAGTTACCCAATAAGATACCATAAGTATTTAGTAAGCAACCTCTAATTTTATAATTGTCATGTAGTAATTTTGTACGGGGGTGTTTGGTATTACTTATAAAAATAACTTATTGACTTATTCTGGTGTGTCACCGATAATAAACACTTTTGAGTGTTTAGATAAACAACTTATACAGGTGTCAAACCAGTAATAACGAGTTTTTGAAGAAGTTAAACCCTTCTGACTTATAATAAGTTGATAAGTGATTTTGTAAAAAAAATATAAGTTGTTTCAAATAAGCAATCACAAACACCCCCTACCTACTAAGTTTTGAGAACTCAAAAAAAGTTAGGGCATCGTAGTATTTTTACCTAATTATTCGATAAATTAACCTTGAGGGTCAATTCAAGTAGCAAATAAAGATTTTCCTATCTGTATTTTTTATTACTTTACATGATTAATTGCGATATGTACAAAAAACATCCACAGTTATAAAAAAACAAAAATTAATAACTATCATATTAAGATGAGAGATTGTGTGAAAATAAGTGTTATGGTAAGAATATTTATGAACTTTTAGATAAGTTGACCTTTTAATTTAACTTAGTTTTTTAACTACTTTCAGTATTTTCAATTATATTCATCTATTAACTTCAAATATCTTCAACTACCATAATATATTTTCAGTTACATTAATATACTTTCAATTAGTTTCAACTATATTCATCCACTGTTGTATTTAAATTTATTTTCACTTTTAAGTAACTTTTACATATATTTAATCACTTTCATGTATATCAATTTGTTAAAGTTTTCAAATGCGGCGACTCCGGACTATCTGTAAAACAAATGATCGCATTAAAATTAGTCGGTTCGTATAACAAATTGGATATACAGGTTAATAAAAAAATGTTATATTTGATTGGAAAAATAAAATAAAAAAACGAAATAAAAAAATGGGATGGAACAGGAGCAATTAAGGATGGGGAAAGGTGATCGGTTATTGTGGGGCAGGCGGGTGGATCATGGATGTGATGGTAAGATCAGGTCCAGCACACCACGTGTAATACAGCGCAACGTGGGACATCTCCCTTATTTCTTTTATCTACCTTTTTTTATTCATTATTTTTATTATAATATATAAATATAATAAAAGATAAATTACATGAAAAAATAATATAATTTAACTTTGAATTCTATTTTAGATAACGTGTTTTTAAAATTTTAATTTTGATATTTAAGATGTAAAGTTTTAAACATTTAAATGCTTCTGTGACCGGTTGAATCATTAATCGGTTATTATGATCATGTGATGAATGATGTGGTATCCAATTCAGTATTATTTGCTGACGTGATTAGAGACATAAATTTTTTTAATCTAAAATTAGTCTTTTTCTAATCTAAAATTAATCTTTTTTTAATCTAAAATTAGTCTTCAACCGGTTACCCAAGTAATTAAATGTTTAAAACTTTACATTTTAAGTACCAAAATGGAAGCTTTGAAAGTACTTTACCCAAAATATGAATCAAATTAAAATACGTTATTTTTTTTAATGCAAGTTGCCTTATAATAAATATCTCCATAGATTTTCCAAAATTTCTTCTAATTAAAAATTAAAAATTAAAATATTATAAAAAAAATAAATTCATCTTTAACAATTTTTTTATTTTAAAGAATTCAGATATTGATTATAGTATTAAAATACTATTCTTGTCTCTAAATATTTATTTTCAAAGTTTTCTACCGGTAAAAATATAATAAAAAGTTACAAACATAATAAATTTTTAGTGAATGGAAAAACAGAGATATTAACAGGAGAGATCGAAATTATTGATACAAATGTTGGTTTTTGAGTTTACTTGTATTTATATTTAAAACAATTTTATCGTAGTCATATTTACAAGCTAATTTCTTAAAATGCTGAAGAGTATTAGATAATTTATTTTTTGTACAATAACAAGTAAACAACAAATCGTTGAAACTTGAACAACCCGTCAAGAAAATGAGACAATGAATTTTGGGGTCAAAGGGTCTACGGGTGGCCGATCATTTGGAGCGTTAATGTAAAAGTGTAAGTTTTATGATGACATGACAAAATGTGTCTTGCAAGGACAAACACGTGTCATTAGGACAAGCGTCTATGAATTCTAATAGTCAAATACGAAGTCAAAACAACCACTTTTTCTTATGGTCGAGAAAGTGTGATATTGACTTTCGTAAGTGAAGGGCTAGACGTCCTTCCCATTTTGGGCTTAGTTCACACCATTATCAAACGATAAAGTTACAAACTTTAAGCAATGACAACAAGCAATGCTAAACAAATTGGGATAAATATGCGACTTATTCCAACAAGCAATGCTAAACAAACTTATACTTAAATCGGAAAAACGAAATGACTAACGTAATATGTAATCAACAAACAATGAAATCAAAACATTAGTAAATAACTCATGAATATAACGTGATTCAACCACTGAAAGGATATTGTACGTCCGCAACCAAATAGAAGATCTTGATTAACCAAGGAGAAACAAAAAACCAAAAGGGATCAAAAAATCACTCTAAAACTCCGTACAGCTATCAAAGTAATCTTTGTCAATGCTTTTCTATCAATTTCGGGACGGTTCTACGCTATAACACCAAGGGTGTGTATTTATATAACAAACCCAAAAACCCGTAACACATTTTGAATCCTAAAATCAATTATTTTAGCATTTACTGCATCACATGATCATGTTGTTTTCCAAAAATGTTTGTTATATATGTGGAACGGGTACGGATCTCAAGACCAATTTTGTCATTCAAAGGGCCGTTTCCGAAAGTACACGAGGTCTTCCCTTTTTTTCTTCTTCCTCTTTTTACATCATAAATTTCAACAAAAATATTATCTCTTTTTCCATTAAAAAATAATGTAATTTGGTATTTATTTGAGACTTTAAGGATACAAGTTCTTAACGACAACCAATATATATTTTGAGCTATGATAACTTCGGATACACCCCGATTAATCCATAATGCGTGTTGTGATCATCCAAAGAATTAGTCGATATGTGTAAGTTAGCCAAAAAAAATCAATTATTATCCAAAAAATGTTTTATATAGATGTTTTTTGGAGTAATTTTATATTATTATATAGTTTATTTTTTATAAAAATTATCAAATCAATAATTGGTTTCAACCGCGGGCAAAATCAAAGTAATAACCGGAGGAGGCTGTTAGTTGTCTCTGTCTCTCTCACACAGAAACACCTTAACACGCAGCAGCAGCCGCCCCGCCGCCCCTCCATTCGACGAATTTAACTAAATTCGTTTTCATTCTTTATTTGGTGATCCTGTTCCTATTCAAGGGAAGAAGATTCCAAGGTCAATTCAACTCCATTACTCTTGATGCTTTTCCTTTTAGATTCAAATTTACTATAAAATATTCACGATCTGTGGGCGGCGCTCTTTGATTTTCTTTTCACATAATCTTCTTCTCCGTCACTATTTCTTCAGAGTTAATCAGATTCCATTATAATGTGTTTGTTTAGTAGAAGCTAAAATGGGGATTTGTCAACGCCGATGGTTCTAGAAGCTTGTCGACGCTCATTTCAGTTTGATTCTAGATGAAAAAACCAATTTTAAGAGCTTTTCTGTGAACTTCTACGTTCGAATTTGCTACATTTTGTTGATCTTGTGTAATTGCTTTTTGATTCGTTGTAAGTTCTGGTGAGGAAATTGATATTAGATATCGTTACTTTTGGATCATAGTAGTAAAAAAAATTTCTCCATTTTCCAGTGGATCGTGTATTCTGATAAATTTCAATGTCAGGTTCTGTTGAAGAAATGGAATCGGCTGCTAAATCAGTAGATGAAGTGTTGGAAGAGATAATGAGAATTCATAGGTCGCTTCCTCCACGACCTGGAATTGATGATGTTGAAGGTGCCAGCATACTAATCCGAAACTTGGAAAACGAAGAACAAGCGAGGGTCGAAGCTTTATCTAAGCAAAAGAAGCGAAAAGATGTTCCTGAACAATTATTTGCTGTGTTGGTAGAGATGCAGAAGAGTTTAGTCCGTTTCCAGAGTGAAGAACAGAAGAGGGAAGCGATTAAACTGCTGGATCTTGAAAACTGCCACCGGTTGTTCGACAATATGATTCAGAGAGCTTCCAGTTGTTGTGGTCCGTCCTCTAAGGATAATACTACCCAATCAATTGCATCAACTTCGACCACTCCTTTGTCTTCCTTCTCCACTTCAAATTTTAGTTACGCTTCACCAAAACCAATTTCTAGTTTATACAATGACATTGAGCCTGTCAAAACTTCTGAGTTGTTCACTAGAGATGATAGCTATGTGAGCAAATCTAAATCAATATTCAATGGCGATGGGATAAGAGCAGGCCATCGATCAAGTGATGTTTTAAGGCCCCAGATTGTGGATTCCACTCTAAAACCTGCTACTACTTCCGGTGAGTTTTGATCTGGTTTCTTATATGACCCTGTTTTATAGATTATTATGATCTTACTTTTGTAGCACTTTGCCAGATTTTAGCTTTCTTTAATGATGATGACTTTCTTTTCTGGTAAGTGGCAATTGAAGTTTGACTGAAATGATGGTTTTTCATTTTGTAGGCCAAGCTGATGCACAATTGAATCTTATGAAGCTTGCTAGTCTGATTGAAGTATCTTCGAAGAAAGGAACTAAAGATCTAAATCTTCGGAATAAATTGATGGATCGAATTGAATGGCTTCCGGATTCAATAGGGAAGTTATCCAGTTTGATCACATTGGATCTATCAGAAAATCGGCTTGTTGCATTACCATCTTCCATCTCAGGCCTTTCATCCTTGACAAAAATAGATTTGCATTCTAACAAAATTGTTGAACTCCCAGAATCTTTTGGGGATCTTCTCAGTTTGGTTCATCTTGATCTAAGGGGAAACCAGTTGACATCTCTTCCTGATACCATCAGTAGATTGATTTGTCTTCAAGAGCTTGATTTAAGCTCAAACAACCTCTCAGTGCTACCTGAGTCAGTCGGTTCACTTGTCAATCTACAAAAACTGAACATTGAGACCAACAATATTGAAGAAATCCCACATATTATTGGCCGCTGTTTATCACTCAAAGAGCTTCTTGCGGACTACAACAAGCTTAAAGCGCTACCAGAAGCGGTAGGAAAACTCGAGTCCTTGGAAACCCTCTCTGTTCGATACAATAACATTGGCAGGTTGCCAACCACCATGTCATCCCTTACAAGTTTAAAGGAGCTTGATGTAAGTTTCAATGAACTCGAAGCAGTGCCTGAGAGCTTATGTTTTGCTACTACCATCGTAAAAATCAACATCAGCAACAACTTTGCTGACCTAAGATCCCTGCCAAGGTCCATTGGGAACCTTGAGAATTTGGAAGATTTGGATATGAGCAACAACCAAATAAGAGTCCTTCCAGACTCTTTTAGGATGCTATCAAAGTTACGGGTCTTGAAAACTGAAGGGAACCCTATTGAAGTACCACCGCAAGATGTATTCCACAAAGGCGCTCAGGTGAACTCCCATTTTCATTATTTTGTATGATCAAATGTTTGCTTTATATTCCTGGCTAATTTATATGCTTTATTGTTTTCAGGCTGTTGTTCTGTATATGGATGAACTCCATCAGAATAAGGATGTGAAGGTTCAACCAGTCAAACAGAAGAAATCTTGGACTCAGATCTTCTTTTCAATGTCTCATAAACGCAAGAGAATCACTTTGACAACCTGAACCCCTCATTTGCACCAGATTAAACTAATGTTCATGTAAGTCCATCCATCCAATTCTCATGATTCATCCTATAATTCTTGTTCTTGGCAATAATCTAGAATTCTCAAGTTTAAAAACCATACTTGAGTAATGTTCTTGTGAATCAAAGATGCATTAATGGAATGCAACAAAAATTTCATCTTTTTAGTTGTGGTTTAAGAGTCTTAAGAAAACTTGCTTTCCTAGGCACTAGGCGATATACTTGTATAGATGCTGAACTTGTTTAAATGTTGCTGATCACAAGTTCCTCCGTAGTCCATACCTTAGTCATAGTCAACATTTTGATTTTCGAGGATCATATGAGTTGCCTCCATTTTATGAATGATATACTTTATTATAAATGATGTAATTTGAAGCTCAGACTAGATATATGATTGATAGAGCTTTTTGTTTGATTATGTAATTTAAAATAAATAAAAAAGCCTAAAAGAACATTGACATTTTTATCAATATTATTAATGTTTTGTAACAGTTACCAGGACAAGTTTGTTTAGGAATCTTAAATATTTTGAGAATCCAGAACCACATACTTTTGTGTAGTATTCATAAATAACATGATAAATATTCATGCCGAATAATATTCACTATTATTCAAAATGATTCATTATGAATACTATAACAGGTGATTCTTGTTTTCTCAAAATATTTAAGATCCCCTCAATATTAGTAAAGGGTAAAAAGGTAATTCTGAATCAAATCCTTGTCAGAAAAATGTTGTTAAAAAATTGTTGAAGTTATTATGGTACTGCAAAAGATAAGAGGCAGGGAAGGGGAAGGAAGGTTGTGAACATGTGGGATTGTGGAAAATAATATTAGTCTGTACTATAAATAACTATTTTGGAAGTACTACAGAGGGATTCTCACATGCTGTTGCTTTTATCTAAATTCAGGAGATACTGAGCTGTCCTTGGCTGGCTGGAACAAACTTAAGTTTATTGATGGATCTAAACAAATTCCTCAAATTGATTCTTCAAGTATGCTTCTTCTCATTCCCTTTACAGATATTTTATTACTGTATAATATCTTGTTCATTAGTTATTGTGAAGAAAGACATCAAACGATCAACGAGTCACTGCATCAATCTTCAACGACCAACACAAAGTGATCGTTGTTGGATTTCTGCAGTGACTTGCTGATCGTATACTCCCTCTATTTATTTCATTTATTTGTTGTATAAATCTGTAACAACGTATTTATTTGAACGTAACACGTTCCTTTGTTGTTGTACTCGTTCAATTTACTGGGGAAAGAAGGAAATAATTACAGGAGGCCTGGTGTTATTTCTTTTTGGCTTTTGCATAGCTTGAAGTGTATGTTACTAAATTCTACAGGTAGTTTATTAGTTACAACCTAACAACGAGCAATAAAAATATAATGGATAGTGTAAAACGATGAAATATGTAGACGAATGTTGGTGTAATCCTATTTGGTTTATGTTAAATATGAAAACAGGGTTGATTTATACGTCTAAAATGGAAGAAAATCTGTTAGGGGACATAGGAAATTTGTTACTCCAAGTTTTGTTGGGTTGTGGGATGCAAACCCATGTGTTGGTCACTAAGGGGGTTGGCCCATGTCTATGAAAACTTCATCACAAGAAGTATATATTGCAAGTCAACAAACTTGTTTGGTTGCTGTTACCATCAAAAGACTCCAGTGTTTAATGAACCAACCTTGTATACATGTGCTTTTGGACTGGTGTAGGATTTCGATGGTTAAAAAAGTTAACTGCAGGTAGAAGTATTAGGCAAACGAACTTACACATAGGTCACGCATACCTAAAGTTCGTTGAACAGTGTTGGTAACCAACATTTGTTTTCAATCAAGAACATGTACTCTACTCGTAATATGACATTGAAGTGGGGCTATGTTTATTTCATTGCTAAAACTTGATTTTTGGAAAATAATAAGTTAGCTCGATCACTATCATAATAAGTGTGCAAATTGCAAATGTTAAAGTTAAAAAGAAATAATCTTGGTTAGCTTTTGGGTAAAATCACAAGGAAATACAAAATTTCATGCTCTTTTTTGCATTTACACAAGTACAATGGTTGTTTTACAAGAAAATGACAAATACCATGGTAAAAATCTAATTCACTCCTGAAGAAAATGGAGCCCACAAGTGACTGTTTTAATTTGGCAAGAAAGAGACGCTTATTTGCTGTTCGAGATTCGGTCTTTTGTACTCTGCAAAGATGCACAAACTATTCATGGCTTAGTTTCTCATAATTAACCAAACTCGCACGCTGTAGTATAATCACCAACTGCAAAAAACCAAAATCTCTTGAATGCTACAGACATTGGCCAAGGGGGGGAGGGGTGGGGGTATTCTGTCATTATTACACTACAGTATCGAATAATCAACTGCTTTCGAGAAGCCATGGCATGATTATAAACTAGCTGCTTGATATATCCTCAAGGAATGAAGCATAAAACTGAGGCAAAACATGTTCCCCTAGGACTTGAAAACTGAGAAAAGCGAATGGTTCTTGGACTCCATTAGTAGGATGGGTTTTGCAGAAATAACCTGTAACATGTTCTGTTTGTGAACATGAACTCAAGTGTTTACTTGAATCTTGTCCCCAGTATCTTCTACTTCAGAGCAAATGTGCCCACTTGTCGGTCTGCAAGAATTTACATTTCAAAATCGAGTTAGTTTGTAATCTAATCACAAAGCAATTTCATGTTGAATGTTGTAGGTAAGTTTGCACTTACAGGCCACTTAACACCTTGATGGTGTCATAGAATAGCCATTGTAAAGTCACAACAGGCCCCACGAGCATGATCCTGATAGGAAGACTTCTCGTAAATAGATTCCGCAATCCAATTTTCTTCACAACCTGCTTACAGTTCCAGTAACAACTAACTTACGATACTATAAGAAAAGAATCAAAGAAATCAAAGAAAAAGGATTTACCAGCTTCAGACTACCAGCCTTTTTGTTATTGAGAGAAGCAACGATATTGTCTGCAGGGTTCGAAATGATGCTCCCAACAGATCCAGCAGCGTATCCAGCTAAACATGTAACGCCAAGTTGTTGTGTGATCGAACAATCTTCCTTTTTTCTTTGAATAGCTTTACGATACAGAAAATCCACCGAATGCTCAAAAGTTGAAAACATGATCATAGAGACTGCCCACGAGATTCGAAAAAATGACATCAAAACTTGGGCATACAAGATAATCTTTGAGTCATTTTTAACAACTCTTATCATAGCATCTGTCAATATAGTCATTTAATTACATGGTAAGTTACGACCCCAAAGTGGAATGAGCCCTTTGTATAAGCTGCAAAAAGAATGGTTACGATCTTACTTCAGATTAGAGCACCCATAGTTTAGAAATTAAGAGGGGAACTTAAAATTTGTACCCATGAAGACCTTCTGATGCATATAGCTTTGGGAAGCCATCGGCTAGACCCTTTGCGAACTGGGGTTGAGCTTGAACACGAACCTTGATGGCCTCAAAAGGACAAAGAGCCACATTAGCAATCACTTCAGCAGATGCACTGCTGAAGAAAAATATTGTAGTCTTGTTTTGGTCTTTTAGAATGTTGGAGTAAAGTTTCTTGAAGTATTCATAAAGGCCGAATCTGCAAGCGCCTTGAACACCATATCCAAAGAATTTGCCGGTCCAGCCTCTCCTGAAAGCCGAAACCCCATCCTCTCTCAGTAGAGTGGTAAAGCTGGTAGAAATGCTATTATACTTGACTGGATTCACCTATATTCCCAAATATTATTCATTATATGCCAGGTGACAATCAAGATTCAATGGTTATAGGTAGTAAAAGTAAAAGCATGAATACATACTAAAACCAGATGCCAGTTAATCTAGGATCACAAGTTCACAACACAGTTGTAGTAGATAACCCTCTATGCCATCTTAGTCTGTTGCACAAAAGATGTTCACTCTTTAAGGTGTGTTTGGTAAGCGGGACAGGACGAGACATGACATAAAAGAAATTTGTTGTCTCAAGTTTGGTGCAACATCTCTACGGGGACAAGACATAACTGATTTGTTTGTCCCAAGAAAATAGGTGATACAAAAATTAGGAAGATGTGACAAGATCGGTAAATTCTTTCACCTGCCGACCTCACTCTCGTCCAGCCAGTCTTGTCTAAGTACCAAATGCACCCTTAATGCTAAAGGCCATACTTTGGAGCTCAAAATTATATGAAATTTTGTCCAACTGAAGACCAAGACTAGTCATTTTTACTGATTGTTTTTTTTTTTTGAAGTATATAATTTTTATATATGGTAAATATAACGAATAAACTCACACTTTGACCTCCTTGGAAGCCAAAGACTCACGTTCCGCTAGACCAAAGACCCTTTGGTTCATTTTTACTAATTGTTTGTCTTTATTTTAACATGTGGGAGTATAATGTCATCAAACGTTTGGTAGATTTAGGGGTTCCTCCTGATTCTCCATAGGGATGGTGTAAATGCGAATATGATGGATTTTTTGATGTGGTGATGATTTAGAGGACAGCTTGAGAGCCAAGAGGTGCAGATCTATGTAGAGACTCAGTTGTGCTGATGGTTATATATGAACATAACACTCCATCTACTTGATATCAAGAATTGGATTTGACAGACATGAAAACTCAAAACTGTTTTAATTTGTATTCAAGAGTAAGAAAGAAGATATGGTTATGACCTGCATATTAACTTTGAGGACATCAAGAGGAGTAATAGCGACATGCGTAGCTCCGGCACTGACCATTCCTCCAAGGGCGCAGATCCCATAATATTTGGCTGAAAATTCTTCACACAGCTTCGTTTCTTGGAGCATGCTGATGTCTGTAAGTTTCTAATTCTATCCCAAAATAAGCATCTTCTTACGATCAGAAAAAGAGAAAAATGGCGTAGGAATTTGCTTTTCTCTTTAAACCCCCCAGAATCTTGGGGAGGAGGAGGGGTCTACGGCTGAATGCCATGCCACCACCTCCCTCCCTCGCTAATTTAGGTTAGGCGCACAAATGCCATTAATTTCTCCTTTTACTATAACATTCAAAAATCTTTTAAGAAAATGGAAAATGGAAAATGGCCAAATAACAATTATTTTATTTATTAATAAAATTTTAAAATTACCAAATGTGTTTCTGTTAACATGAATCATAACCAAGTTCAAATACAAATCCACAAATATATATTATATTATATAAATAGGGAAAACCTTGTAATATATCCACAGATTTCCATTTATTTTGCTTCCTTTAATAACTTGTGCTATATTTACTAACTCAAATTATAGTCTATGATGATTTTAAATTTTTTTACGATGCATGTATTAAAAGACATACGTATGTAAGAGGGTGTCAATAGAAATACGATCCTTAAAGCTTCAAACAAAACAATTCTCCTATTATTAACCGTATAAAACAAATCCGAAAATTAACGTACCATGATAGTACAACACAACCTTAGAAGAAGATTGTTTGACACAAGTTTACGGTTTTCCACCAAATGCTCAAACTCAAACAACAATGATACGAAAAATATAGAATTTGACTTAGATGGTATAAAAATCAATATTTAGAGTGGTCTATCCAAACTTAACTACTCTACTTTTATCGAGCCCATCTCGAAACCATGATCCACTCTAAGGTACTCTTTTAAGGTCAGACAAGATCGCTATACGATGTACGGTACAAATTCTTCACGTAGCCAAGGGTTGGAAATAGATTTTGACAGCAAATCATTCACAAACACAATATCAACATCGGATGAGTGTTTTTGAATCCTGTCCAATATAAAAGAATAAAGTTTGTTTTTTTCAATTTTTCAGAGGCACATATGTTTTATTGTCATCCTATTTAATAAGAGGTAAATTAACCTCTTATTTGTTTCTTATTGTTATCTAAACCCTCAACAACAATATTTCTCAATCGATTAACTTTATTCGATCCTTACCAAATCAATCATCACATCTCTTAATTGATGTATTTTAATAGGATTTAAATGTGTTAAATACCATGAATGACATATTTTCGCTTAAACAAATGTTAATTATATAATTTAAAAATAAATTTCGTAATGATGATGAATAAATATGTGAAATATCATGAATGACATATTTTAATTAAGTCATCAAAATAATATGTCATATACATCACGGGATTAAAACCACACAAAAAAAAAAAAAAAAAAGTCTAAGGGTAAGTGCGATACCTCATACCTCAATAAAAATAATTTAAAAATAAAATATTATAATAAAAAAATTTATAAAAATAAATTACTATTTCATGCTTTTCAACCCTTTAATAAATTATCATATTATCATTTTCACAGACCCAAGCCCAAACTAAAATCGTCGCCTACATCGTATGAGTGCTTCCCCAACTCTGATCTCGATCTATCCGCACTTCGATCTCTCCAGACTTCAATCAGAGGTACGATTTCTTCAACTATGGTTTTCCAAATCGATTTCGTTGATAGTTTCTTCGATTTTGATTTCGATTTCTTGTTGTTTTCATCCACTGGACCAACTAATCGATTACGTCAACAACATGGTTTCTGCTCCAGATGAAAAATCATCATCTTCCCATACTTATCTAACCCTTATCCAGTATACGACTTTGACAAAAACAATATACGGGTTCAAGGTTTGGTTATAATAATCAGTAGGTTAGGTTTAACTAGTCTAAAGAATCAATGGTTTCTCTTATTTCCTTAGTTTGAAGTTTGAACAATATGCTACTGTGAATTTTGTTTCTATTTCATTATTACATATATATGATGCCTATATTGAGATGGAACACAAAGATAGTTTCTGCTCAGAATCCTTGATCTAAGTATTCCTCTAAATGTGTTAGTTTATTTGTTTTGATTATTGTTTGTTTTGTAGTGATGGATCAGAATCAATTGGTTGTACTCGTTGACATATGAAATGTTTACATTCAAATGTTCATATATTTGCTTTCCCCTTAAAGATTTGGTTAATTAAATTGGAGAAAATAAATAACAAAAGAGAAACATTGGACCAAAGAACATTCACTAGACTTCAATTAGATCACAACCGAAATACAACGCGTTTATGCCAATCTGGTCAGTTTAACAGATTTGTCCAATCCTGTTCATCATACCAAACACAAGACAGACAATTAGTCCGGTCCCCTTCTAGTCGTACCAAAGGTAGGATAGACAATTAGTCCCTTCCATTCAAGTCCCGTCCCATCCGGTCTGCGTATCAAATGCTACCCAATGGTTCTGAAGACCTCTAAGCGATTTTGTATCTTGGGCCTCCCTAAACCATTTGGCGCCCTAATTTTTCCAAGATTGCCCGCTTCTCTCACGCATCTCTCTCACACCGCACAAATCGGATATGCTCATCTCTCTCTGCCACATTCTTCAGGTGCTCTCACGAATCCGATCCCGCACAAATCAGATATGCTCATCTCTTGCGATCAATCTGTTTCTCTGTTCAATTCGTAAATCTTTTTCTCTTTAGAATAATCAAGTGAGCGGGTGGATGGGAGTCCGCTCAGCTCTTATTATAATTTGATATTGAATCTTGTTGATCAATTCTAATTGGGTGAGTCGTCGTAATTCAATTGAACTGAACAAAACTCTTGTCTTGTGATATTGAATCTTAGTTGCAGATCTTTGAGAGAGATGGATGAGAGTGCAGTTGTTGACAGAGATTCATTGGCTAAGAGACCTGGTATACTCCTCATCGGTTCCTCAGGCGTCGGCAAACGGACTATTCTCTCCCGTAACCCCTCACTCTTTTCCTCATGTTCATAGAATTAAAAAAGTTCTACATCTACATGTTCATTTCTATGTTAATCTTCCGATTGCAACGGCAAATCACTTTCTTCAATTCATATTGCTTTTTTGTTTGCTTAATTACTGATTATTTCGAGGTTACATTGGAGATTTTTAAGCTTAAATTTACTTCAGATGGAATTAGGTCAAGCTTTCGATTCCCTTGAACTTTGACAAGTTAGAATCTGCACCAATAGCAGCTTTTGATTGGAAACTTAAGACCTAAACTCATCTCCTCAATGCATTGTACTTGAGGGGGGTGTGGCGTGATTTCTTTCTTTGTAACTGGTCCGTGAGAATATCTGGACTGGATAAAAAATGGACATCATTTTTTATAATAAACTCCTTGTTGATTGATCTTCTTCTTTCTGCTCCCCCAAAGTTGGAGCCCCTCTTGATTCCGATAATTAGAATAGTACTTTTCAAATTCAAAATCTAAGATGTTTTTGGCTTGTAGCTCCAGGAGTCCAGGGTCATTCTATTACAACACTCCTTTTAATGGTTAACTTCAGTCATCATTTCCCCCCTCAAACATAAAAACAATCTCCAATAGTATAAGAAATATTACCCAAGATTTCATTAGTTTAAGGTCCCCATTGTAATTTGGAAGATCCAATCTTCAATATTGAGAGGAGAAAACCTGCACTTGCTAGATACGTTTGGTAAGGAAAGAAAAACCCAAATGATGACTTGCCTTCCCATTCACTTGGGAGAAAGTTAAATGATGAGACAGAGAGTTCTGAGATAGTGATTGCATGCAACAAAGAAAGAAGAGAGAAGGAAGGAACTGACAATTTGTTTCTTGATATAATTCCTAACTATGCCTACATGTGGGCAGGGGTGCACACCCAAAAGGCAAACGTCCCAACATCTCAAGGTGGCATTGTAGAAAAAATAGTTTCACGAGGCTAGAAACGATACATACAGGAAGTGATGAACGAAAATAGAAGATTACCCAACCAGAATGAATGTCACTGTACAGTTTCTTCTGTTTCTCCTATTTAGGTCAAGCCTTGCATTAAACAACAAAGAAAGTGCTACTTTTAGGGGAACTTATTTATCTTGAATTAGTTTGTAACAATTTACTCTGTTTTTAGTGCCTTATCTAATCAATATAGCTACTTGCATGTTGTAGGACTGCTCTCTGTAGATTTTGAAGATGACGTTGACTCGTCTTCAGACGTTCTTGCTTATGGGTAACATGATTCATTTGAAGCAAAATGGTGGATGCTGTTATGTTTTATTTGTGGTTTCTTGTTAAAGAAATTGTTCTTGTTAATGTTAACTTTCAGGTGGACAATCGACACAAAGTATTACACAGCTGACGTCTCCATGTGGATGGCTCATTTATTTAATGAATTTTCTATCACAGGGGTGCCAATGTTTGATCGAGTAGCTGCCTTAGTGATGGTTTTTGACCTGAATAATGTTAGCCTTGCCTCATTCTCTCCATTTAATTTATATTGAAGTTCCAGTCATAAACATGATGGAAAATTTATCGCTTCATGCCAATTTGATGTGTTGATTGAGGCCTTAACAAGCAAGCTATTGCATGCAGCTATCATCGTTTTCCGAACTTAAAAAATGGGTCTCATGCAATGATATTCGGAACTTTGACATCTTGTTATGCATTGGGAACAAAGTGGATCTTGTTCCAGGTCATTCAGCCCATGTTGAATACAGAAGACGTCTGCTCAATCTTGGCCAATCCCAGGATGATCACGGATGTGACTCATCAGAATATGGTATTTCTGAAACAGAAGGAAGTATTTTACTGGGAGATGAGGAACCATCATCAGAGATTAAAAAATCTTGCATGGAATGGTGCTTGGAGCATAACATTGAATATATTGAAGCTTGTGCATCAAATGCTAGGTTTGACAAATGTAAGATCCTGAAAATTACTCCATTTTAACTTTGATCATCTAGGCTTGACTATTTGCCATCTGCTACATTTGTAACCGAGGGCAGAGAGCAGTTAGTAAAAGCAGTTTTTAAAATATTTAGAGGATTGACTAGAATCAAAATGATGAGAATCCTGAATGCAGCTACAACGCCCTATAGCCAGTTCCCTCTTGTGAACTCTTTTAAAGTAGCTGTTGCTTCAGACATTTTAAAGGGTATTTGGGTTGTGTCATAATTACCCTGTTACTTTGGTTAGAAGTAGAACCACATCCTACTTATGCTGCCATAAACCATAATATTTATATATTGTTGTCTCCTGCCCTTTATTTGATGAATGAACTCACTTCGCTGTATAGCTTAATTTCTACCCTCTTTTAACTTTTTTCCAGGAGCAGATTTAACGGTGTTTTAGCAGTAAAGATAATATATATAAGCACCTTAGGTTGAAAGTGGGAACAACCCCTGACAGTTGGTAGTTTCTCAAGTTGAAGAACCATGTGATAGATTTCCTCTCAGTATCATATGTAGCCTCCGACAATCGAGAAGTAGAAATAGAGGTATTGATAGACTTTGTTAAGAAAATAGTAGAATATAAAAAGGTACCTCGATTCTGCATGGGATCTTAAATGTATTTAGATGATGCTTATTTAAGGTTTGAGTCAAAGGGATTTCAGAATACAAGACATTACATGTTTGTTTGGTGGTATACAAGTGAATTGTGAAAATGGGGTGTTTAACTTGCCAATTAACGAAGATATCCTTTCTAACTACTTCCTGTATGCGCATGTTTAGTTATGAACAATGAAAATAACAAAAAATTTCATTGCAGGTTTGTCAGTAGATGGTGATTCACAGGGCGTTGAGCGACTTCATGGGGCTCTATCTGCTCATATGTGGCCTGGAATGATCTTGAAATCTGGCCGTACTATAAGTCAACCTTCATTACCGGAACAAGAAGGTTTGCATACAACCTTGGTGGTCTATAACAACATTTCTACATCCAATTCATTAAACCACTTAACTGTTACTCATTCCAGATTCATCAGATGAAGAACCCAACTACGAATTGGAGTATGAAATTTTATCAGCTGGATCTGTAGACCCCTGGGATGATACAGATCCATCGTGGATGTCTGCAACCAATGACACTACACCCCTAGATAGTTCGGAACCAGTTGTCAAGAACGAACGGCAAGTTGGGGAAAATATGCAGCCATCAACATCAAAATCACAATCACAAGATAACGAAGAAGTGATACCTGAAGCACATGAACCTGATGAAACTAAAGATGAGGGTGGTGTGCATTATGAACTTGAGGATATGGAACAGTTGATGTCCGAGATTGGGAGTATGCGCGACAGCTTAAGGTTGATGCCCGATTTCCAGAGAAGGGAAATGGCTGCAAAACTGGCCATGAAAATGGCTTCTATGTTTGGAGACAGCAGTGGTGATGAAGGGGAAATAGAGCTGTAAATGTTGCTAAAAAGAACAGATTGGATGAACTGCTGGTGAAGTATGTTTGCTTCCCTTCTTGCCGTTATGAAGGTTTATGGCAAAACGCCCCGTAAGTGCTTAAGATTCGTGATTCTTGTGTTATTGTGGAGGTTTATCTTCAAAACTTCTTTCTTGCATTTGTTAGTCTTACTCTTGGCAAAACAGGGTCTTCACAGAAACAGTCACTTTACTTTTTGGGGTAGAAGAATTGTTGTATACATTTTAACTTTTGCGGATTCTACTTCTCGTGGGATTTACTGGGTAAGTTTGGTTTGGTATGTGTTACAGCAGAGGTGCCTATATGAACCGTAAAACTTGTAAAGTGAACTCTCTACATGTCAGTGTAGATGTTACCTGATTGAACCGGAATTGTTTTTATGAGATAGAATGTAGTGGTTAAAGTAATCGTCATTGCAAAGTGCAAACTATGCGTACCGACTGACTCGAGAACTTTCGAATGAATTAAATCATATGGTTAAGTTAAAAGTCATTCGAATTCAGAAAATCCGTTAAGTTTTGTTCAATTTCTAATACATCTTACGGATTCAAAACTTCAAATCCAACATCCAACTTGACGTGCTTTGCATACAAATTTAAATTGCTATAAATTCTAAAATTCTTGACAAATCATAATATTTATCGATAAAAGTGGACCTAAGGAACCTTTTTAAATGGTGACACCATTTAACTATAAGAAAAGAATCTATATTTATTTAATTCATTTTCCTATGTCATCTTATGATTGAGCTTTTGGTCCCAAAAAGTTTGAGAACCATAATAAATCTGAAATTAAAACCTAAAAACTAAGAAAATGATACAAATAGAATTGGAATCCACGCCTAGAACAAGAGAAAGACTCTGCAAACCAACTTGTGTTTATTATTGTAGTTTTAAGAAATACATATAGCCGCACCCAATAACACATAATGCGATAATACTTTCCATGACCCTAGAATCTTTTAGAAGGAACGAAACATTGACCCATCCGTACATGTAGCCGCACCAAAGTGGGTCCACCCCTATTTATCGAATCTCTCTTTATAACCAATACAAATTTCACCACCCAAATTTGGATATGAAGAGATAGAAATGTTGTAAACCTTTCATATCTATACTATATTATAAATCATTTGACAAAAAAATTTAAAACCCATTTAATATGCATAAAATATTGTTTATTGATGCATATTACTTAAAATTCAAGATTACAATTATATTGTGCGTAAGTACACTTTATTAAAGCTTTATGTTTGAATTCGTGTAACTAACTGCAGATAAACATAATTAAATAAAGAATAAAAATCTCATTTTAAAATATAAAAATATAATTAGGATAATTATTAAGTTCTAACATAATACTTAATTATTATCTTTATAAAAGAATATATTATTAAACCTAAATTAAGTTACTTCGTTACGTTAAATTAAATTATAATAAAAAAATTGAATTAAAAAAAATATACAAACAAGAACTTTTAAATAGTTAATTTGATACTAATAATATATTTTTCGCAAATTTTATCTGATATCTTCAAATTTATATTTTATTCAAAAATAGAAACATTATCGTTTTTTTAAAACCACATAAAATCGTATTACATCGACATGGATAAAAAATAAAACGAAACATTGAAATATAAATATATCTCGATGCATTACACGAGTATCCTTCTAATATTAATAAAAGAAACAAATAAAATGCCAAAATATATAACTTGAAAATATCTTTGGGAACTTTGTGCCCAAGAGCAAGTGGTTTTTTTTATTTTTAAAAGCATGATAACAGAAAAATTGGGCCTTTTTTGTTGGCATGTTGCATGTTATGAGACTTTGTTTGCAATTGCATGTAAAGTGTTGGCATCTTTAAATACTTATTGGACCAAACTTTTTGCCTCCATTTTTCCTTTCAAAAGTTACAAAATTTAATCCTTTCCAACCATTTTTTAAACCCATTGTAAGACACCTTTTATTTGTTTTTACACCTTTTAAGGCAAGATAAGGCTTAGCCCCAAAGTACCCATTAAAGCATGTGCCATGTGTTTGTGACCTTATCAAATATTATTTTATATTAACTATCATGGTGGTCAATTTCATATGCCACTTGCTCTTGGATGGATGTATGATCAAGTGGACACAAGCAAGTAATGTCTAATGTTAAGTGAACCAATGTTTTATGTCATCATGAAAAAGTTTGGTTTAAAGAATATCGTTAAGAATCTAATAGCAGTCGAAAAGAACCCATTAAGAGTAAAGCAAGTAAAAAGGATAAACGATACAGTATCGACAAATTCAAAGGCGGGAATTGAAACAGCGATGCTGAAGAGGAAATACAGTGACGTTCGAGTCCGACAAGTGAGTATCGTATAAATCAGTTTCTTGATTGTAAATGATTTAGCAACGTTGTGGTCCTTAAGTAGCTTTTGAATAAAATCTTATTTGAAATAACGTTGATAGGGTATTAAGTTTTTTCTTTTCTTTTCTTTTCTTAAGATATTACTAGTGTACTTTATATAATCATTGTGAAACGACTACAGTCAAACAACAGTAAGGCATCATTTCATTTACTATCGGTTGACACGAAACAATACATATAACAAATAATTGAGATTACTTGACCATTAAAACATTCATTATACCGAAATCTTATTCTTTTTTTTGTTATACAAATTTATCTGATCTGATTTTACGAAATACCTTTTGGATTTTATAATAAAAGGGTTAAACCATGCCTACCAATTTGGTATATCACTTTGTTAGGTCACCATCATATCAAATCAAATCAAATCAAATCATAAAAACATATATATCAATTTTTTAAATAATTATATCTGATTGGTGGCTCCAAAAATCAAAAGTGTCTGGAGGTCCTAGGTTCGAATCCAATGAGAACTAAAAATTCCCGTTGTGGCCATAGAGATTCAAATACGGTGACTTCGGGTTACCAGCGAAACGGATGGTCATCCTGAGATTAGTCGACTCACATCACGGGTTGGATATTTAGGTTAATAAAAAAAACCCATAAATGCAGACAAGTTTAAGGAAATATAAGAATCTAAAGTTTAGGATTGAAGGCTCAAATTTCAAAAGCTTGTAGTATGCAATGCAATGCAATATATTTGAGAATATGTTCACTTTTTTGTATTGCAAAGTGGGTCCATGGATTTGTGATTTGTTGGAAATAAAATCTTGTAATGGGATTTTGCACATGAAGTTAAAGATGGTTAAGTTATCATCTTTTGAATCATTACAAACTTTTAACCTAAGTTGCACTTCCATTTCTTTAAACTTGTGAGATATTTTTAAGATATTTTAAGAATTTGATGTTGATTACTGAAGTCAAACTACGAATAACTTGTGACTACAAATGAGTATACATATTTGAAAACGAATTGTCTAGAAAAGAAGAACACTTGTATTTAATCTAAAATAAGCATAGTTATGCATAGGTAGATCGGTGGGTATCCACAAATAATATTGTACTGATCTTTACAAAAAAGAAAAATACAGGTACCAATTCATATGAAGGGTCTCAGCATAAAAATACCTATGAATTTTAGATGCTTGTAACGATCAGTCTACATCAATGTTAGTTGTAAATATCGATATTATTCATAAAATTATTTTCATTTTTATATTTATGTATATATATATTTTTTCTTTATAAGATTATAAGTCACAATCAGTTGTTTCGACTTTAAATTGCATCGTCCTCGTTGATTGAGTATTACCGGTTTCTTTATAAAGAAGAATGATCGGGTCCTAATCAAAGCTTAAAGAAAAGATATTGTTCTGCTTGAGACAAAAACTAAACCACAGTTTTTTTCTAATTAGAATCAGATTCCTTTCATTAATGCAGTTATAGAGAAATATATAGAAGAAGAGAAATAACAGCTCCTAAAAAAAGGAGTAGGATCTCTATAAGATACGCACTGGCGGCCATAAAAATAGCATAACTCCTGTATTTGACCAGTTCCTAAAGCAATAGATAACGTAGCCTATACAGGAAACATAATGATCATTGCTAAAACTGTTTGCACAAGTTTCTGGTTCAAACTTGGTACCATAATTTTTGCTTAAACTTCTGAATCCTCCTCATTGAAGAATTCAACACTTGATTCTATCGGTCTCACATTATTTTCGAGTAAATCAAGACCGCACCCTTCATTATCCAGTTTATGTCGCTTCCTAGGTCCCGTAGGACTCGTAACGTATTCGACATGGTCATCCGACCATTACCTTGTGACACCAAATATATATATATACACACACATACACACACATTATATTATAAATCATTTGATAAAAAAATTTAAAAACTATTTTTGTGCATAAAGTACTACTTATTGATGCATATTACTTAAAATTCAAAATCTCAAGTAAATTATGCGTAAGTACGACTTATTAAAGTTTCATTTTTGAATTCGTGTAACTAACGATAGATAAACATCTCATTTAAATATAAAAAATCTAAATTATAATTATGATAATTATTAGTTATAACAAAATACTTAATTATTATTCTTACAAAAAATTATATTATTAAACGGTAAATAATTACTTTGTTATTAAATCYAAATTAAATTATAATAAAAAATTAAGTTAAAGAAGTTACATCAAAAAACAAAAACTATTAAATAGTTTATTTGATACT